TGGAGCTGAGGCCAGATCCGGAATTTCACAATGAAGAAGAACAAGGCGTTTCTTCTTCTTCTTCTATTTAAACAAAATATGAATAATAGCAGGGTTTTTACAGACCTAAAGGGCCGTAATATACTTGCTGCAAACAACGCAAACGTGACAGCATCATGGCTGCCACGCGTGATCTGCATTCGTTTGATGTGTCGAACGCACATCTCAACGCAAGGTACCGCGACGCGTGTGCGAGATGCAATATTCGCATAACCGCTGGTGCAAATGCACACAGTGACTCGACCAGATGATCAGACCAGACCTAGACAGATCGCTTCCGGGGCTATGGCGAAAGCTTTTGAAAAGAAGCTGACAGACCTGGTGCGGAACTACCCACATCTCTATGATGTTTCGACACCGCTAGACAGTGACAGGCATGCCTGTCAAAATAGTTGGTGACAGATTGGTGGGGTTTTTGGGATCGATGCAGAAACCTGTCAAAAAAAAGGGAGCAGATCCGCGATTGCTAAGTGCGCGCCAAGAGGAAAATGCAGGAGAAGCAGAGTGGAGATGCAGATGATGTGTTCTGCCCAGCGATAGTGAAACGTCATGGCTGGCTGCAATGTTTTATTACCCATCGCACCACCAACACCAATTTCCCGGTAAGTGTTTATATGTTTAACATTGGATGTTTATTTGTCACATATACAGAAATGCAGTAGCAAAACATGTATTGAAACATCTGTTTAGCTGCTCAACTCTCCTGTGCAGGCATGTCAAGGGGGTGGGGTCATATTTGGGGATGTAAGTTACCACCTGCACGTGTAGGCCTATATGCCCATTGATAAAAAAAAATGTATTTGAGTTAATTTGAAACATGTCTAAATATGTCCAATATTTAGTTTACATTAGTAGGGGACAGAGGGGTCAGATGAGAGAAAACCAGCCAACTGCACTACAAAGAGCTAAATTTACTGAATTTTAATATTTTCAATATGACACTGTGTTTATAGATACTTGATGAAGGGCCTTCATCAGCTGGTTCCAGCTCTTCTGCAGGTGCCACCACCCCAGGCCCCACCACATTGTGTGTGCCCTCCCCTCAATCCTTTACCTCACCCCCACCTTGTACACCCTCAACATCTATACCCACCCCCACTCCACCATCTATACCCAACCCCACTCTACCATCTACACCCTCCGGGGGAGGTGGCAAAAGGAAGAGGAAGCGAGCCCCAGAGATGGATGCCACTGAAGCTGCCCTCTTTCGGAGGCTACAGGAGATACAGGAGGAGCGGCAAGCAGGACAAAACTGGCCGATATGTTGGCATGTTTTTACAGGACCTGCCACCAGAGTCTGCAAAGAGACTGATGAAGGAGATAAAACAGCTCATGCAAGTTTATGAACTGTAATTTTGAATGTTTTAATAATGAATTGTTCTCATTGCACTCAGTATATGTACTCCTATACACTGTTACACACTACAAACAACTTTACACAGTATTGTTAAGTGCCTTAAAGTTTAGTTGTGTTTAATGTCATTGTTTACATTTTTTACATTCTGCATTGTAATTGTTTACATTGTTGTTTACATTGTAATACATGAAATAGTTCTTCAAAACCAACTGTTTCTATTGTTTTATTTGCACTCACATAGGCTCTCACTCACTCTCTCACACACAATCAAAAAGGAAACAGACAGAAACTACATTCACATGTAGAGCTGCAACAATTAATCAATTAATTGATGACTAATCGACTACAGAATTAATTGCCAACTATATTGATAATCGACTAATCATTTTGAGTCTTTCTTTTAAGTAGAAAAGTCCAAATTTTCTGATTCCAGCTTCAGTTGGCGATTAATTCAATAGTCGATTAGTCATTGATAAATTGATTAATTGTTGCAGCCCTATTGTCTATAATTCAATTAAATTCAATTCAATTTTATTTATAAAGCCCAATATCACAAATCACAATTTGCCTCACAGGGCTTTACAGCATACGACATCCCTCTGTCCTTATGACCCTCACAGCGGATAAGGAAAAACTCCCCAAAAAAAACCCTTTAACAGGGAAAAAAAACGGTAGAAACCTCAGGAAGAGCAACTGAGGAGGGATCCCTCTTCCAGGACAGACAGACGTGCAATAGATGCCGTACAGAACAGATCAGCATAATAAATTAACAGTAATCCGCATGACACAATGAGACAGAGAGAGAGAGAGAGAGAGAGAGAGAGAGAGAGAGAGAGAGAGAGAGAGATGCAGGTAATGACAGTAGCTTACAACAACATTATTGAAAGTAATAATATTATAGTTATAGTTCTGGCTACTGTGGTACAATATGTTGAAAGTATGTATTAATATCTGGCAGTATACATGTGTGACAATAGTCATATGTGTATAATAACAGTAGAAGTATGACTAATGACTAATGATGGCAGCAGCAGCAGGAGGCATCTGGCAGGACCACGGCAGCAGCACAACCACACACGTCACGCTGTCCAGGCACCGCTGCGATATGAGTTAATCTGAGAGACAGTGGAGCACAAAGGCTCCGGAGAAGAAGCCGAGTTAGTGACATCCAGAATGGCCGAGTTAGCAAGATGCAGTAATATGTAGCTTACATACAGTAAAACTACTGTTCCATGTTTGTTTATTTCACTTCTCCTCCCAAGTCTGTGACGCAGGAGAAGGAATGCTACAGTTTGGGTTCAGGTAAGACAGTTACTGCATATAGTCATTAAAATGAGTCAAGTACAGCCACAAATGTTCTGTTACCACATCGATCAAACCTGTTTGCAATCTGCTGTGAAACACACAAAAAAACTGAAAAAACTTGGAACAATATTGGAAATGCTGCTGCTGAGAAATAAACTTGAAGACACTGAACTTCTGAAACACTTCCAGCGGATGTTCAAACTGCGACAGAGCAAGATCAAGCCATGGGGCAAAAGAAATGCAATGGAGCTGCATCCAGTGAAGTTGCCAGGGACATACCTAGAGATGTAACGGTATGAAAAATTCATATCACGGTTATTGTGACCAAAATTATACACAGTATAAATCATTATTATATTTATATATTATAATATTATTATTATCATCTGAAATCATTTCGTCAAAGTTTTATTTCGAAAAACACAAATAAAATAACAAGCACAACATACTTTCTGTTGGAAGAAACATTAAAATAATAACATAAATAAATAAAATATAAATAAAATGAGCAATAAGCAGTACCATGATTTTTTTTTTTTTTTAAGTGCCGTGATCAAACACGATTTTAATGGTTCAAAAAATGTATCAAGTTGAATCCTTGCACATACCAAAAAAGGAAGATTTAAATGCGGGACAAAAACTTGAAAAACAAAGGCAGCTCTGTTTTAGAAAAAAGTTAAAAAGCCTTTATTGTGGCATGGTTGGTACAAAGTTAAAAACAGGGACCAACACGTTTCAGCTCCTCAAATGAGCCTTCATCAACCCTGATGATAAACCCTTGGTTTTTCAAGTTTTTGTCCTGCATTTAACTTTGACTGCTTCCTTTTTTGGTATGTGCAAGGATTCAACTTGATACATTTTTTGAAGCTGCTTTGCACCCTCACCAAAGAGCACCTGTTTTACTGATTTTATTTGAAGATCCACCCAGCGCTGCCACCCCTTTTCTCACGATTTTAATGATAATTCACATTTGAAATGGTAATACTATAGGGAATTTTATCGCGGTTTGTCATTTTACCGGTAATCATTACATCCCTAGACATACCTTGCCCGTTCGGCCTGGGAAGATGAGCACAGAAAGTTATGAAGAGCCACATATGGCTTTACTGACATCTTCTGCTGTCTCCAGGGCGCACTCCATGGCCTCTCCAAAAACCCTCCACCTTGCGGCAAGAATGCCAAAGGCATTTTCTACCAACCTCCTGGCTCTGGAATGACGGTAGTTATATGTCCGCTGCTCAGCAGAGAGATTTGTGCCTGTTAATAGATAATGAACAGTGATTAGGATGTTGTCTTCAGGTCATATAAAACTAAGGAGAATAGAAAACAAACTCACCTGAATATGGTCGCATCAAGTTGACTTTTAAAGGGAAAGCCTCATCAGCAACAAAGACAGGGGAGCAGAGTACCTCACTCCCAGGTTAAACAGCTGGAGGTGGCAAAGACAGCTTGCCCTGAAGGAGTTGCGAGCCAAAGCCACTTCTGGAGAACACGCCAGCATCAGTCTCTACCAAAGGCACCAATGTCCACAATGGTGAACCAGTAACGGGCATCACAGACTGCCATCAGGATGAAGCTGAAGTACTCTTTATAGTTATAAAAGGCACTTCCACTGTTGACGGGGGCACAGATTCGGACGTGCTTTCCGTCTGTCGCCCCCACACAATTAGGAAACTGCCACATGCCAAGGAAATCCTCCTGGATCTGTCTCCATTGCTCATCACCTGGGTATGAAGAGAGAGGAGGAGCATACACCAGTGTTGGTGAGGTGCTGACCAGTGACAAAGGCACAGAATCTTGTTGCACACTCATAGACTTGATGCAAAAAGGGATTTATTAAGCTACTGACGTTTCGACTACACAATCAAGTCAAGACAAGAGAGCTCTGTCTCGGCTCTCAGGTGGTGGCTCAGAGGTGGAGACAGAGCTGCGCTTCCATTTGGACTGCCCAAACTATGCAGGAATAAGAAAATTGTATTTCCCCAAATTCAAAAACATAAATCAAGACTTTGTAAACCTCACATAAAAAGAAAAAACTTTGCTACATTCTTAAAGGAGTGTGCCACTACTGCAGCTAAATGTGTGTCAGCATGTCATTTTTCAGACAAGATAAACTGTCACATACGTAGAAGTTGATTGAATATTGATCTGTTGTATATATTTTGATGCCATATTTACGTATGTTATTGATTTGTAATTAACTCTGTCTTGCTTTGGCAATATATACTTTTGTATTTCATGCCAATAAAGCACCCTTGAACTGAATACATTTAAATATCACTTTAAGTAGAAAGAACAAAATACCCATGATGAAGACTGTGTAGTCGTTAGCTTAATAAATCCCTTTTGTGCATCAAGTCTATGAGTATGCGACTGACACTTTTTTTCTCACCTGGGTATGCCACAGAGACATCTTTCAGAGCAGTCCATATTGCCTTGCAGACTCAATCTTTCCGACGGTTGCAGAGCCCATTTTGTAGCTGGCAGACAATTCTCTGAAGCTCATTCCAGAGGCAAGGAAACGGAGGGTGACAACAAGTCCCTCGGCTGATGTTATTGGCTCAGTGTGTGTGTGGCAGTGTTGGATATGGGGTTCAATCAGTGATAGTAGATCGTTGAAAGCACTGACTGACATGCGGAAATACTCCCAGTGTTTCTCCTTGTCAATTAAGCGCATCGGTAAAACCATGGGAAACAAATTCCCCGTTCTCTCGACGGCTGTGGTTGAGGGGCCGCAAGTACCGCCTCCGATGGCGACGCTTCTTTTCCCTTTGCAGCTGCAACAGAAGTAAAATTATAGTCTCCTCTTCCTCATCAAGGGCATCCATGTTTGTTTAATGTACTCTTCTTCTTCAGTTCTTCTTACTCTTCTTCAACTCTCCTTCTTCTTCTTCTTCCTCTTCTTCTTGCAATGTACTTTTCTTCTTCTCATGAGATTCTTCACGATTTCCAGGTTATATTTCTGTTGTCTGCCCCAAGTGGTGACCGCCAGTATTGTGCATTTTGGCTGCATAGTGCTGCGTACACAACGTGCCGTGTCTGTGCATTGTGTACGCGTATATTCGATTAAGCAGCAAGTATATTACGGCCCTAACGTCTCCAACGCTGCTCATCCCTCTGTTAAAGCGCTGATGAACAGCTGATTAATCAACCGACCAGAGTCTGGGACTCATCCGAGAGCATTATTGACCTTATTTTAGTATCTGACAATGCTTTAATTTTTGAGTGGATCTATTGCTTATGGTATCAGTGATCATTACATTAATTTCTGCACTAGAAAAATGGGGAAAAATATTTTAACTCTCATAAACCTTTGTTAGCCAGGTCCCTCAAGAAATACTCTGCTGATGGTTTTAAAGAGCTTATTACTGCTTTGGACTGGTCTCCTGTATTGTCTTGCATGTGTGTTGATAAAGCGTGGGAGGTTTTTAAGTCCAAGTTCCTCCAGGCTATCAATTCTGTTGCTCCCCTCAGGAAAGTTAGGTTTAAGCAGCAGTCCAGTCCTTGGTTTGATAGTGACATTCAGGAATCTATTAAAGCCAGGGATAAAGCCCTTCAAAAATAAAGTCCCGAAGGATTTTATCTTGTTTAAGGAATTGAGGAATGAAACGCAGGGGCTTATTAGGACTGCTAAAAAGGACCATTACAAAGTTAAAATCTCAGACAATATGAACAACCCAAAGAAACTATGGAAATCCTTTAATGAATTCAAACAACAATAAAGCTACTAACATCAGGCTTAATATAAATAATGAGCTGTTTTTTAATAAACATCAGGTGGCCAATTATTTTAATTACTATTTTACATCTTTAGCCAAAAAAAATGGTTCTTAAATTACCCCCTCTTCCTGGCTTATTTGGGATTGATCGAGTCAAATCTTTTTATGCCAACTTAGGAGTTTCCCAGATTTCCTTCTCTTTAAAAAGGGTCACAGTGGAGGTGATGGCAAAGAGACTTTCTAAACTTAAATGTTCTAAGGCAACTGGTCTTGATGGGATATCTCCTCTTTTTCTGAGAGATGCTGCATTCCTTAAGGCCCCCTGCATCTCACACATTTTTAACCTTTCTGTTGATTTGGGTGTGTTCCCAAATGACCTGAAGATTATTAAGGTTATTCCCCTTCACAAAAAAGGGAGCACTAGTGACGCAGGGAACTATAGGCCTGTCTCAATTTTGAGTGCAGTTTCAAAATTTTTTGAAAAGGAAGTCAATGAGCAGCTCTCTGACTACCTGTGCAGGAACAACCTCTTATACAAATTTCAGTCAGGTTTTCGAAAATCTTACTCTACTGACACCTGTTTACTTTACTTATCCGACTACTTAAGAAAAGAAATTGATAATAAGAATCTGTGTGGTATGGTGCTTCTGGACCTCCAAAAGGCATTTGATACTGTCAGTCATTTCAGACTGATCAGTAAGCTTGAGGCCTTAGGTGTATCCAGCTCTTCCTGCTCTTGGTTTTTGTCTTACTTGTCTGAGCGTTATCAAAGAGTTTGTGTAAACGGTGTCTTTTCAGATGCTCTGCCTGTCGAGTGTGGTGTGCCTCAGGGCAGCTTTCTGGGCCCTCTTTTGTTCTTGGCGTACATTAAGGATATGAAGGCTGCGTGTTCATGTGATTTATTTTTGTATGCCGATGACTCGGCACTCCTTGTCTCCCACAAAGAACAAGATTCCTTGGAGAGAATTTTGAGTGCTGAGCTGTCAAAGGTTAATTCATGGCTCAATGATAATATTATGTTGTCTTTGCACCTAGGCAAGACCGAGGCTATTCTTTGTGGATCCAAACACAGGTTGAGTAAGTCCTCAGATCTCAAGGTCACACTAAATGGTGAGACAGTATCTGCTACCTCACCTGTCAAGTACCTCGGCTGTATTCTTGTAGTCAATGTTAGTTTTAGTTAACTCTTTAATTTTAAGTCATTTTGATTTCGCCAGTACCTCTTGGTTTGAGAGTTTAACTAAACTTCTCAAATACGAGCTCCAGGCTGCCCAAAACAGGCTTATGAAGGTGATTTTAGGTCTGGGCCCCCAGTCACACATAGCTAGGAGCCATTGTAAAGAACTAAACTGGCTTCCAGTTGAAGCGAGAGTCACTGTATCTAGGATGTGTATGGTACATAAGATCATTTATGGTGCTGTCCCTGCTTTTTTAATAAATGATTTTCAACATGTTAGGGAAGTACACAGTATCTCTACAAGAGCCAGTGTTGCTGATGTGCGCTTGTATAAGTTTAACTCTCTTATCGGTAAGGCATCCTTTTCTTACATGTGGGCTTTTCAATGGAATGGCTTGGATTTGGTTATTAAATTAGCTTCCAATTTAAGACAGTTCAAATTTCTTGTAAAAATTGCCTCAGCTCTTGAAGACGTATCTGGCTCAAATATGATTGTTCCCTTCTTTTTTTTTATTGTGACCATGGTTGTGTATGTTTTTGTATGGTTTTATTGATAGAGCTTTAACTGCCGCACATGTGGGTTGCCACCTTGTATGTATGAGGACCACAATGGAAATAAGTCCTGGACTTTATTGTGTTTTTGTCCTCGATTGTGTCAGACAACATGCATGCGTAATATGTACTTTGTGTTTTATGCAATCAAATAAAACTAAACTAAACTTAACTAAACTAAACTAAATCAGACCGAACTGATTAAATCATGAAAGTGAAATGTGTCATTTCACATGGGTTATGATGCTCAAAAAAAATTCATACACTGATTTATAGATGTCTCTTTCCGAAGTCTATGGGGAAAAAGTCTTTTTGGGCCCCATGGCATCACGCAACAGACCCTGGAAATTGCAGTTCCACTGAGGTTCCCATGTTGCTTTTGAAGTTTCAGTACAAAGGTTTACTTTGCCTCCTCCCCTCAGTTCATCCCCTCTGTCTCTCTCAGACTCAACATCATACACTGTGTTCATCATGTGATTCACATCCATCTCCCATTCTCACTCACTCAGTTTTCCTCTCATCCTCTTTTCATCTAATATCTTTCCTCTTGTGTGAAGACATGCAGAAACAAACAAATGCTGTACATGCATTATACCCACAATACATATAGCTGGGCACGCAATTCATGTAGTCTGTGTGAAGTACACTGTTTGATGTGGGGCCACTGAGGGCTCGTCCTGCATACTTTAATAAATCTCTATGAAGTTTGCCAGGACACAAAGGGAAGCTGGCTACACTACTTCTGTTTGTAGGATTAAATCCCTGAATATGCGTGAGCTGCACACATGAAGATACAGAAGGGTGCACTTTGACTGTAAATTTATCTTTTAGGTTTTGTTGGTGGATAAATATTTTGATAAAGGTGGATGCAAGTTGTGATTTTCTTCTTCAATTCAATGTAGATATATTTAAACCAGCAGTGAATGAGAAGGACTAACTTGTACAGTAGGTGGTGGTATGCACCCTAAAGTTGAGTCTACAAACTGAATCTTTAGAAATTATACAAGAAAAGAAAAGACAAGAATAGAAAAGAAAAGAAAAAGTACTACTCCAATTGTAGTTTTTAGTATCACTTGTACCAATACATTATCAACTGGATACAGTTATAAAATGTCGAATAAATCAGTGGAGCAGTTGTTGAAATGTCAGCGCTGATTAAATATTCGGGGTTGTGAAAACAGTTGAGGAGACCTGACTCAGTGACTAATGATGAGTTGACCATGCATATGATTGAGAGTCACCATGCTGTGCTTTTGATTTGAGCACATAGTGGTTATGTTTGCATGGTGGAACAGAGTGGTTATTGTTGTAAAATTAGATAACCTGATTCTGGGACTATTGTTCTGTGCAGGCCTGCCCAGCTGGAAATCATTTATTTGAGCAAAAAACAGCGTAATATAATTGTGGCTTTCCCTGTGCATCCAGTGGAGCATCACGGACAATGACTCTCACCCTCTCCGCCATGTGCTGCTCACTCATAGGGGCACATTCAGTAACAGACTGATAGCATCACGATGCACCAAACAGTGCCAGGCAGTACTTGTACTGCCAGATGGTACTTACTTTCTGTGGCCATAAGACTCTAGTACTCTTTTTCTACACTCATGTGTTTGGTTTGGTTCGGCCTGTCTGTCGGCCAAGCACGGCAGGGATTTTTGTCTCCATTACAACAGGGCTACCTACTTGAAGGTGTGTCTTCAACTGATGACAGTCTTGAGTGATGATGTTTTAATGAAGCATATTGATCCACGTCCCCCATTATTTTGCTGCATGTGTTTTTTCCACAAAGATGAAAGAAGTTCACCTGTTGGAGTTGAGATGTTGTCTGCAGCTCTTTATTTAACATCTCACTGTGACTCTTCCTGCTTTTACTCTTCCTCCTTGCAATGTTAGAGCTCTTTCTTTTTTCTTTTTTTTTTCGAGAAAAGCTGCTAACAACGTTCCGCTAAATAACTAAAAGCCTGAGCTATTAATTGAAATTTTATGGTAACTAACTGATTGACTGACTGACCACGACTGGCCACAGTCTGCAGAGTCAGGAGATGATGGCTTTATAGATGAGATGGGGCAGGGAGGGGAGTGGTTGGTTAATAATGTCACATGGCACCAGATTCTCTAGTAGCAAAATTGAATTGCAAAAGCCTGGTTTCAACCTGTAGTGGGCAGTCACTTTGCATATTTATAACACAATATGTAGCATTGAAATACTTTGCTCTCAAATGTCAGTATTTGGACCTGAATCTGTCAACACTACTAAATACTCATATATATATTGGGTTTTATCTGAAAAAAGTGGTTTGGGGGTTACTCTTTAAAGTTACTTAAACCCAATTAATCCAGCCAGCTTACTCTTGTGTTTTACTTGAAAATGCAATCTCCGCTGAATCATTAAGACCCTTTTCCAACTCCTTGCAGTTCTTGCAATCCTACATCTTAACACTGGTAGATTCTACCCCCATCTCATCTTCTGGACA